ACGGGAGTTAACATCTTACTAACATCCTTAATACCCCTAATGTCATGGATAGGCGCTAAGAAAGGATTTCTTGAAATTCCATACCCAGAGGTGTCATATGGACAATTTTTTACCATGGATTGACCGAAGTGAACTGAAGATGAAAAAAATTTGAGAAACGTACCTCGTGAACGAAGTCGCGAGTAAAAGCTAGCAGCTATTATAAACTGCTCAAAATGAAGAGGGATATTTGTAATTTATTCATATTTTATTAATTTTCATCAAATTAATCGATATATTTTTGCTAGTTGAATAAACCAAAATAGAAAATACAAAGAATTGTTAATCCTCATTTTTAACAACGGATTCGCTTAAGAATAGTAACCATAACTCATTTTGTAAACAAGCACCTTTTCTCGCATTTTCTCCATTTTAATCCAGTTGTGATCTCTTTAACCATGGAGACGGTCTTGAACCAGAGAACGCATTATTATTGTGAGAATGAGTCGTCGATGACACCGCCAAGTGGATATCGCAGAGGCAGTTGGCGTTTCGTAGAGGTTCAGCCAGATAGCGAGGGACTGGAAATGCCAATGGAGGCCTGGTAGTGGATTAGTGCATTACGACCTAAGGGTGGACAGAAATATTATCATTACTGCAAGAAGGCAACCCTTTCCATAGTGCCAGCCAAGTCCTAAATAAAGTACGAGATGTTTTGGCAAGATCTTCATTATTATAACGATGCGTAATTGTTTGTGCGAAGTTGGCCTCAGATGGAAGACCTTTTGAGACGACCTGCAGCAACAGCCCACAACCAGCAAATCAGGAGAATAAGGTGCAGCGATCGCCTAGAAGAGAACACCAATTGTAATACTGTTACGTTTATTTATGAGTCGCCTTTCTGTCTGTGTAGTGATGGCAGGCGCCGATGAGCACCGAGAACAGGGGATGCATTTGTGTGCAGTTTGGAGGAGGATGTGTAATGGTCTGCGCTGGGGATTTACACAGGAGGACGAACTGGACTGCGCATTGTTGAAGGCAACGCAGTCCGTTATGACCGTCCAAGACATTATCGAGGAATATATCCTTCAAATTTGGGATCTCATAAGCAGGGATTTTCGATTTCTGGATGACAATGCCAGACCTCATAGAGTCAATTGTTCATCACTGTTTAGAAAACATTGGAATTTACCATCTCCCCCTTCAACCATTGTCTTCAGACCTCATACTATTGATCACATGTGGGACGGTTGCAGAGAAAGTTTTTCGATCACCATCCGCAGCCAGTTGGCCTTCAACAACTGAGTGCAGCGGTGCAACACCTATGGAGTGAAATACCTTATGAAATTAGTGACGACCTCATTAACAGTATGCCTAACAGGTGCACAGAGGTTTTAACTAACAGAGGGCATTATACACGATAACTATTATGAATGAGAACATAAGGACAGGTCAGAAATTAACAAAGGAAATGTATTGGTCTGATTTAATTAATGCGTATTTAAGAATAAAAATACGATTCATTAATTCACTACTTTCGTGATCCGCTTGACCAATTAATACATGTCAATTAATTAAGGTTTTTAATTGAGATGAAAAAAAAGTCAATGGCACGAGAGGGATTCGAACCTACGTCTTTCGGCTAGATACGCCGCTGCTCTACCACCTGAGCTATTGTGACCTCGATCCACTCGGACATCAACTCCCCATCTCAACCCCACCTTATGAGTTTTCCCTCCTTTTGCCATTTTTCAAATGTCGTGTAATTGACAAATAAAAATACGTTTAAAAAAACAGCTGTTAAATTCATGGCTGCCATGTTTGTTACCTTCGCCCTAACGGCTAGCAATGTGACTACATTTTCGACCTAACAACTAACATTGGCTTGTTAGATCGAGCAATGTTAACTAGTCGATTCATACAAGTCTACGACATCATTTTTCTCGATCTAACACAACATAACACAGTTAACACAAAGATCGTGAATATCCCTACAAGGTATGTCTATAGGCTTGTAAGAATCGTATTTAAGAATAAAATTACGTGTAAACAAAAAACAGCTGTTAAATTCATGGCTACCATGTTGTTACTTACGCCCTAACGGATAGCAATGTGACTACATCTTCAGATTAACATCTAACATTGGCCCTGGCCTGTTAGATCGAGCAGTGTTAACTAGCCGATTCTTGCAAGTCTACGTCATCATTTTTCTCGATCTAACACGACCTTAACAGAGTTAACAGGGTTAACACAAAGATCGTGAATACTCGTATTATACAATTAAAATATTTTATTTTTCAAAATCCCTTAATTAAGTTAACCTTCAGTAAAAAACTTTAATGCAATTTATAATAAAAATAAGATAAAAATGCTAGGGAAAGTAAATACTACAAAACTGGCAATACCCATATTAATTTTTGAGCAGTTTGTTTTCTATTACATCCATTTCCATAGAAAGGGGCGTAGTTAATTCATTTTAGTCTGATCACTCGAACTGGCAGGAAATTTAATTTTTGAATGATATCGGGGGAGATTGTTAGAAATGAGCCTTTTCTGTCGGAAGATGCTGGTTGGCGATAGGGTCATTTGGTCATTATTGAATGTATTAAATAATAAAACTGAAAATTCATCCGATTTTGAGGAGAAATTAACGTCAAGAGAAGTGGCGCTTACGACGGAAGAGTGATAGCCCTTTGTCTATCGATGTGAGTGAGTTTGAGAACGTTGACCCGGCGAGGAGGCGACACCGGCGTCGACCCTCCCCGCGTTTCACCTCCACTCTTTCTCCCTTTCTCCCTCACTCTCTCCCTCTCACCCTCCCACCCACCCTCTCGCTCCCTTTCCTCACCCGGGGAGCTAACTGTGTCAAGGTGAAAGCAACGCCGGCATCCCTGCTATGTCCGGCATCTCGTCCTATCCCGCCCGTCGGAGGCGTCCCAGATCTCTCCAGGAAGCACGTGTCCGACTTTACCGAATACTGCCGCAAAAACCGCATCAATGGGAGTTTGGGACGGCCACCCGGCCGACTCTCGCCCATTCATTTATTGGGTGGTGCAAAATTAATACAGCTTTCGAAAATTTGTTTTATTTTCCAAGGTGGCGTGCAAACAAAGCTAAATCACCAAATCTAACTTATTATGATTAAAATGCTTTTAACTCTTATCTTTTATACAAAATATTTTAGTCTATTAAATCCATTAGGTTTAGTGGTCTAATTGACCAAATTACTTCTTTCAATTAATAATGTCTTGGTTGAGATGAAAAGCTAGTGTCATAAGCGGGATTCGAACCCACGGCCATCGGCTCAATAAGCCGCTGCTCAAACCACTTGAGATATCTTGACTTCAAAAAGTTAGTTTTACAAGTGGGATTCGAACCCTCGACCTTGGTCCCATATGCCGCTGTTCAAACCACTTGAGATAATGTGACTTCAAAAAGTTAGTGTCACGAACGGGATTTGAACCCAGGAACACCAAAAAATTAGTGTCACGAACGGTATTTGAACCCACGAACTTCAAAAAGTTAGTGTCACGAACGGGATTTGAACCCACGACCTTCGGCTCAGTCCGCCGATGCTCTAACACTTGAGCTACCGTGACTTCAAAAAGTTAGTGTTACACGCGGGATTTGAACCCACGACCTTCAGCTCAATACGCCGCTCTAACCACTTGAGATATCGCGACTTCAAAAAGTTAGTGTCACGAACGGGATTTGAGCCCACGAACTTCAAAAAGTTAGTGTCACGAATGGGATTCGAACCCACGACCATCGTCTCATATGCCGCTGTTCAACCCATTTGAGATAATGTGACTTCAAAAAGTTAGTGTAAGGAGCGGGATTCGAACCCAATACGCCGCTGCTCTAACACCTGAGCTATCGTGACTTAGATCCTCTCGGACACCAACGCCGGAGAATTAGAAACGTTTAGGTGGAGATGAGGAGTTGGTGTCCGAATGGATCGAAGTCACTAGCTCAAGTGGTAAGTGGTATTAGGGCGAAGGTCGTGGGTACGAATCCCGCTCGTGTCGCTGACTTTTTCATTTCAACCAAGACCTTACATAAAAAGAATAATTTTAATCTATATTGAACTTTATAAGAACATTTGGATCTCGAAGGCAGAGAAGGTCGCGGTTGACCTTTTGTGTATGACCAACTCAAATCGTATATTGAAAAAACTTCACGTGAGACTACACGGGAAATTGCGGAAGAGCTTAGTGGTGATCACACAACCGTTGTTCATTATCTGTAGGAAATTTGTAAAGTTAAGAAGCTCGACAAGTGAGTACATCACGAAGTAATCGTACCCCAACGAAAGCGACCCTATAGCATATGCACGTCTCTTCCGTTTCGCCATCAAAATGATGATTTTTCTATCGAATCATCACGTTCGATGAAAAATGGATCTGTACTATTACAGGACGCGTACTGGTCAATGGTTGGACAAGGATGAACCATCAAAACACTTGCCCAAACCCAATCGGTGATGGTAACCGTTTGGTGGTGTACTCATAGGGTTGTTCACTATAATTTCCGGGATTATGGTGAAACTATCAAGAAATATTGCCAAGAAATGAACAAAATGCACGGGAAGTGGAACGTCCTTGTCCAGCATTGGTAAAACGCAGGGCCGATTCTTCTCGATAACGCCAGGCCACCATAGCAATGCCAATCCTCCGGAGACTTAGGGACTTAAGATAAGAAACCTTACCGCACCTTCCAAATCACCCGACCTCTCGCCTATAGATTTCACCTTTTTTAATCATTTTGATCACTTCTTGAGGGATAACATTTTAAAAGAAAGCGGTGAAGCTATGAGTCTAAATAAAGATTTTTTCTCAGAGGAATAAAATTGATTATTATACGTTGGCAAAGATGCTTCATCATTTCCACATTGTTTTGGAAAATATTTTGAATAAAATTCTATATTTTATAAAAAATAAAACTAGCACTGTTTTTCCACCAGCCCAATGTGTTTTTTGGTTTTTCGATCAAGCCTCACATTTTTCACTGTCTTGTTTCAGAGGTAACGGCAGTCTAGCGAGTTGGGGCGCAATTTTTGGTTTCATGGTGATGATGATGCTCGAAGTTGGCTTGTCGTCGTGACGAAGATCGTCCATCTGCAAATCGAGAAATTACTGCACAGAACCCGGATCGACCGGTGCCAACACCAAAGACTTTCATACCCGGATGGCGGACATCCCGATTCGAGTGGCCTTCACGTCTATTATCCTCGATTTTCTTTTGTTTACGTAATGATTTAAATAACCGTTGAATTTCCCTTTTATCAATTATAAGTATTTGAAATTATGTACTTAGTTCTTGTACTAGAGCTAGTCGCTACGCAGGACTACGGTTTTACCGTGTTTTAAATAAAACACTTCTTCGTACTTCTTTTCTCTTATTCTCCTTACCTTTTTAATATCAGTTTTACTCCCCAGTAAATAAAATTTAATCAGCCTGCCAACCATGAAGGAGATAAGTTTGAAATTCTACAATGCTAGGTGCAGGTTCTTGAAATCTAGGACAAGAAAAACCACAAGTAAGATCCTACACCAAGGAACCGCTGGCAAAGTTGTAATCCTAAAATAGGTAATGAAGCTGGCCAGTAAGTTATAATTAACACAGGAGCAGAATTTAGGACTATTTAGGTCGAGGTGCAGTAGGCCTTGCGGCCGACTCTCTTATCCCTATCTACAATGGCACATCAGTTCGTTATAAACGACTTCAACTATTCCCACAATATCTTTTCACGATGTTTGTAAGATGTTAACCCGTGTTAACTCGAATAGAGAAATGTCCATAAGATCGTCAACGCCCCCTTTTCTTCTTAGCATGTTAAACTTTAATTTTTCCGCTATGCTGCGCGTGGCGATTGGTAGAGCCAAAAATAAAGCTATAACTGTCCTCGCAGGCTTGGTGATGTTTGTTATGGTTTTGTTTTGATGCCAGAGGTTAATAAAAAAGGAAATTAACCAATTTCCTTTCAAAATGCTATCTATGCACTCGAAAAATACTAGCAAATGACACGCTTCAATTCGTGCCGACATACCTAACCTGTACCCTAACCTTTAACAGCCTACAACTTTATCGGATAGGGGATCTATCTGTCATAAATGAGAGTATAAGGACAGGCCAGAAATTAACAAAAGACATGTATTGGTTTGATTTAATTAATGCGTATTTAAGAATAAAATTACGTGTAAACAAAAAACAGCTGTTAAATTCATGGCCGCCATGTTGGTTACCTACGCCCTAACGGCTAGCAATGTGACTACATTTTCGACTTAACATCTAACATTGGCCCAGGCCTGTTAGATCGAGCAATGTTAACCAGCCGATTCTGACAGGTCTAAGTCATCAGTTTTCTCGATCTAACACAACCTAACAGACTTAACAGGGTTAATACAAAGATCGTGAATTCCCATCGTTTATTTATTATCGTTAAATACAGTAACATCACTTTTTTCCAATCTGCCCTTTCGCCCATTGTCTCAAGTCCTCGATCCCATTGAGCACAAGTGGGATGTGTTGCAGAGAAGTCTTTTCGATCACCATCCGCAGCCAGTTGACCTGCAACAACTGAGGACGGCGTTGCATCATCTATGGAGTGAAATACCTTATGAAATAAGTGACAACTTCATTAAAAGTTTGCCTAACAGGTGCACAAAGGTTCTAGCTAACTTATCTAACCTGTATCCTAACCTCTAACCGCCTACAACTTTTAGGATTGGGGCTGTAACTATTATGAATGAGAGCATAAGGACAGGTCAGAAATTAAACTAAAGAAATGTATTCGTCTGATTTAATTAATGCGTATTTAAGAGTAAAAATACGAGCAAACAAAAAACAGCTGTTAAATTCATGGCTGCCATGCTGGTTAACTACGCCATAACGGCTAGCAATGTGACTACATTTTCGATTTAAAATCGATTTCGATTTAAAATCCAGTGGGGCAAATTGGATTTGGACGGGCGGATTTTGGAACCGCCTCCAAGTCAGAAATAAGTCTGGAAAATTTTAAGCCTAACTTGAAGATATCGGCTTTTCATAACAGTTGTTGGATAGAACAATTTAAAACTTACAATTGTCCTTACACTTACAACGGGTAGCCGGCCCTCATACGATAAGAAACAGATTTGTCGAAATATTCTATATGTGAGAAGTTCGAGGAAACCGGAAAAACCACTTACATACCCCTACTATTAATAGGGGTAGTCACGATCTTTGTGTTAACTCTGTTAGGTCGTGTTAGATCGAGAAAAATGATGACGTAGATTGTAAGACTAAGCTTATTAACATTGCTCGATCTAACAGGGTAAGGACAATGTTAGATGATAAGTCGAAAATGTAGACGCATTGCTAGGCGTTAGGGCGTAGGTAACCAACATGGCAGCCATGAATTTAATATCTGTTTTTTGTTTACACGAATTTTTATTCTTAAATACGTATTAATTAAATCAGACCAATACATTTGTTTTGTTAATTTCTCACCTGTCCTTATACTCTCATTCATAACAGATACCGTGTGCTACTACCGTGACTACATTTTAATAAAAAAGGAAAATTAATCAACTCTTTCATTCAAAATTCTATGCACCCGAAAAATAGTAACAAATGACACGTTTCAATTCGTGCCGACATACCTAACCTGTATCCTAACCTCTAACAGCCTACAACTTTGTAGGATAGAGGATGTATCTATTAGGAATGAGACTGTAAGGACAGATCATAAATTAAATAAGAATGAAAAATACATGTAAACAAAAACATCTGTTAAATTCATGGCTGCCATGTTGGTTACCTACGCCCTAACGGCTAGCAATGTGACTACATTTTCGACCTAACATCTAACATTGGCACTGGCCTTGGATCGAGCAATGTTAACCAGTCGTTCTCACAAGTCTACGTCATCATTTTCCTCGATCTAACACGACCTAATAGACTTAACAGGATTAACATAAAGTTCGTGAATACCCCTCATTTACTTATTATTGTTAAGTACAGTACCATCATCCAGAATATTTTCCAGCCTTTTTTAAGTAAAGTTTGAACACCTGAAAAGTCTTATTAGAGGGGCTAGAAGCAAAATGGAATAAACAGATTAATTAGACCTACATAGTCACTAAAACAAGCAAAACTCATACTAAAATTTCTATTTTATGTATTTTCAAGTCAAATTATTTTTACAACTATGTATTTTCATGTTAATTGTTAGGTTGGATGATTTTTACTTCTTCATAAGGTTTTTACGTTTTCCTACCTTTAGCATCTAAAAGACTTTCAAGTATATCTTTCCAGTGCTGTGTAATGTCTTCTAGTCCATATATCACAAATGTCATAATGTTTGGTCTTAATCATCTTTATTCTTATCCTCTTATTGCCAAACAGTCTGGGAAGTCTTCGGACAGGATCGGTTTTCAAAAACTAGAGGCAATTATACGAGCTTGGATCGGGTTTGTATTGAATAGAGGACCGGATGGCTGCGCATTTGATATTTCTGTAAATAATCCAGCTGTCAGGGACTAGCCCGGTTGCGCAACCAGCGCGTCACTAGAGGTAACTGTGCTAAATCGAATTATCTTCACACCCGCATACTCTGCCCAATTGGGCCCTTTTGTCCATGGAACAACTTTACCTGGAGTCACACCAATTACAAAACGAGAAACAGTTAAGTATATAAAAAAAAAGATTCATGTTTCTTAGCGTTGTGATGATGATTTTATAGGCTTTTCCTTAAGGGACGAATGTCATTACATTACTAAGATTTTCTTTGTGCAATGATATCATTTATCTTACATTTTGGTGAACTTTCAAGTAAGAACTTTGCATCCCGAGAATGCTTTGTAAGCTCAACCTGATGTTTTTCATTTCTTACATTTAATAATTAGTCATTACAGAGAGAAAAACAGCTCCTAACAGAACAAAATACAATGGGAATGGGGCAAAAATGGATTGCGTTTTAAGGATAAAATTATAATTTTTTTATCAAAAGGAACAGAGAAGATAGGTGCTGGAATATATATACAGGGTGTCACGCTACTCGTCTCTCAAATATTGCCGATGAAGTTCATCCCCCAAGTGAGAAAGAACTTCTTATGAACCGTGATCCGATTCTCAACCCTTTCGCAGATACTCACCATTTTATGTTTTTCAACTATCTATGGTTTTCGTAAAAAATCTACTCGTGACTACTGAACTATTCGTTTTCTGGAAAATTCACAGAAAAGCCTTAAATTTCCTTTAAGAAGACACGCTACTAGCTCTTTCAATTTAACTTTAGGTTGAAACAAACATAAATCTTTCAAAAAATGCTAAATTTCAAATTAATTTTTTTTTCAAATTTCAACCTTGGGAAAATTCACGGTACAGCTGGGAAAATTTCCTAACGATCTTCTTTTAATAAGCTTTCTAGCGATATGCACTTTTAATTAACGAAGCAAAAGTAAAAAATTGGTGGTTATTGTAGTAATCCAACTGTTTGTACTGGGAAAAATTATAATTACCAATCATAACTTAATAAAAAAAAGCACAAAAGGAAAGAAAAATAAAACGAAAATATAAAAACAGTATAAAAATAGCTAATAACCAAAACAGAAAAATTGGACAAAATATCTACACTAAATGCAGGTAAAAGAAAAAAACAACAACTACAATACATATGTTGTAAAACCTACCCCACACACAGCAAGATACACTCAAAGACAAAAAAACCCGGACACGGGTATTTTGTTGTTTATTTGAAACATCATGTATGTATTTTTATCATTAAATTCACTAATTTCGTGGTCCACTTGACCAATTAATAGATTATAATTAATTAAGGTTTTTGGTTGAGATAAAAAAGTCAATGGCACAAGCGGGATTCGAACCCACGATCTTCGGCTTGAAACGCCGCTGCTCTATCACTAGAGCTGTCATGACCTCGATCCACTCGGACACCAACTTCCCATCTCAACCGCACCTTTTGAATTTTCCCTCCTTTTTGCCATTTTTCATGTATTTTTATCTTTATATTAATTACAACATGCTTATTTCAATGTAAACCAAATTAAATGAAATGAGAAATTCACGAGTTGTAATAAAAAAATTATTTAATTATGATGATTTGAAAGAAAATTCACCAAAACTCAGGAAAATAATTGACTGATAGGTTAAGATTTAACAAACAATTTATTTATTGGTCCTCCGGGCCGGATAGCTAGAATTTCTACGTCTAAAAGCAAGGATGACATCGAAGACTTGGAAGACCTAACCGATGATATTCGTCATGCGTTTTTTTATTAATGGAAGTATCGACCACTTTTTTTTACTTACGAACAATCTGATTTTGACGAAGAAAACAAATTCAGTTCTTACTGCCAAGCTTGGATGGACAACACGATGATTGGAACGTAACGCAATAAAAAAAAGAGAAAAATTCACAATAATTTGGCTGTTAACGATGTTAATTGAATATCTTTTACGTGTTTTGTTTGATTTTTACATTGCATTTTTCTTCTTCTTTTTTTGTGCTCTTTTATTAGGTAAAGATTAGATTTTGCAACGTCTGTATTGTAGTTATGTTTTTTTTGCCTGCGTTTAGTGTAGATATTTTGTCCAATTTTCGGCTTTGGTTGTTCGCTCTGTTTATTGTCTCTTTGTTTGTATTTTGCTCAGTTTTTCTTTCTTTTTGTGCTTTCTTCTATTAAGCTAAAGTTGGGGAAGTCTGTTGTAAATAGAGATAATAAACATAGCTAACAACCAAAGCAGAAAAATTGAAAAAAATAGCTACACAAAACACCGGCACAAAATACAGAAGTTGTGAAAATCAACTTTAACTTAATAAAAGAGGACAAAAATGAAGGAAAACGAAACTAAACACAAAAAAAAAGAGACAGTTGCTAACAACCGAAGTAGAAAAATTGTGCAAATTTTCTCAGTAAACAAAGACAAAAAAAAAGATGAAAAGTACAGAAGGTGTATAAACCTTTATCCTTAAAAACCTTATTTTAATGTAAACCAAATTAAATGAAATGAGAAATTCACGAGTTTTAATAAAAAATTATTTAATTATGATGATTTGAAAGAAAATTCACCAAAACTCAGGAAAATAATTGACTGATAACTTAAGATTTAACAAACAATTTATTTATTGGTCCTCCGGGCCGGATAGCTAAAATTTAGAATGCCTAAAATGCCTAAAATGCCTAAAAGCAAGGATGACATCGAAGACTTACATGATGATTGGAAGACCTAACCGATGATATCCGCCATGCGTTTTTTTTATTAATGGAAGTATCGACCACTTTTTTTACTTACGAACAATCTGGTCTTGACGAAGAAAAGAAATTCAGTTCTTACTGCCAAGCTTTCGACCTATTTTAATTATTTGATTCTTCTTCAAGACCATACCTTGATCCAGAGTGTTCGTAGGGGAAAAAGTGGTCGATACTTTCATTACTAAAAAACACAAAAAGAAAGCAAAATGAAACAAAAACATCAAAATAAATAATAAACCTAGATAATAAGCAGAGCAGAAAAATTGGACAGAATATCTACAGTAAACACAGGCAAAAAAATACAGTACTTGTGAAAACCAACTTTAACCTATTAAAAAAAAAGTAAAAACTGAAACAAAAACGTAAAAAGAGACAATAACCACAACAGAAAAATTGGACAAAATATCAACACTAAACACAGACAAAAAAAACAGAAGTTTTAAAAACCAACTTTAACTTAATAAAAAAAGGATAAAAAGGAAAGAAAAATGAAACAAAAACATAAGAAAATAAACATAGCTAATAACCAAAGCAGAAAAATTTGACAAAATATCAACACTAAACACAGGCCAAAAAATACAGAACTTGTGAAAACCAACTTTAAACTAATAAAAAAAGTAAAAAAGGAAACAAAAATGTAAAAATAGACAATAAACATAGCTAATAACCAAAACAGAAAAACTGGACAAAATATCGACACTAACCACAGGAAAAAAAATGCAGAAGTTGTAAAATCCAACTTTACCTTAATAAAAAAAGGATAAAAAGGAAAGAGAAATGAAACAAAAACATAAGAAGAGATAATAAACATACCTAATAACCAAAGCAGAAAAATTGGACAAAATATATACACTAAACACAGGCAAAAAAAGGAATACAGAAGTTATGAAAACCAACTTTAACTTAATAAAAAAGTACAAAAATGAAGAAAAAGGAAACAAAACACACAAAAAAGAGACAATAGCTAACAACTGAAGTAGAAAAATTATGCAAAATCTTTCACTAAAGAAAGACAGAAAAAAGATAAACAATACAGAAGTTGTAAAAACCTTTAACATAATAAAAAAAGAAAAAATTACGTGTTTTGTTTGCTTTTTACGTTGCATTTTTTTTTGCGCGCTTTTTTATTAGGTAAGGGTTGGGTTTTACAACATTTGTATTGAAGTTATGTTTTTTCTTTCTTTTACTTGCTTTTAGTGTAGATATTTTGTCCAATTTTCTGCTTTGGCTGTTCGCTATGTTTATCGTCTCTTTTTTGTGTTTTCTTTTATTTCTCTTTCTTTTTGTGCATTCTTTTATTGAGGTAAAGTTGTGGAATAAATTTTCCCCAATACAAAAAGTTGAATTACTCTAGATTAACCCTTGAAAAATTAAATTTAAAGTTTTTGGAGGGTGATTTCTTAAAGGAAATTTAATGCTCTTTTAAATGTTTTTTTTTTATTTCTCCAAAGATGAATAGTTCAAGAGATACTTTTTGTTCCGAAAACGAACCAAATGTTGACTTATTTAATCTTCCAATCTATTAAAAATCTGGCTAAATCTAATCAGTTATGTAATTAATAGAAATGATAAATTGCGTTTCGCACGTTCAAATTGAGCGCCATTAAAAAAATCAGCTGCTAATTAGAACGTCGCGTTGGCGGAGGTAACAGCGGGTTCACTTTGGCAATTCATGTCGAGAGACGTGGTTGTAAGAAGTCCTTCAACCTGATGATGAGTTAAAAGGCTCGAAATCCGGATCGTTGCAAAACAACTTGTAATTATGTAAATTTTGATACTTTTTATTATTAATTTTGAAATAAGTTGTTTATGAGACAAATATTGATAGAGTTGATTTGTTTTGTTTTTACCTGTAGTGCCAAAAGAATGGGTTGAACTTTCTTGTTGAGGGGTTAAAAGTTGATTTCGAAAGTAGCAGTTTTTGGGTGACTTAAGTTCACATACTTCCAACTTCCATCCGTCTTCTTACCCTTCACGTTACTATGAGAAAAAGACAAGCCCTTTTAGTTGATGAGTTGATTTTTTTTTACTCCTAGTCTCAAAAGAATTCCGTTCAACTTGCTTTTTGAGGGGCTAAAAGTTGATTTTGAAAGTAGAAACCACTTGTTTTTAGGATCGCGGCCGAAATCTCCTAGTTTTAATTATTAAGAGGGGTCGGGATTTTGTCTTATGTGGAGGGGCGTTTTCCGAGGGACATCTGCTTCGGCATTGTATAGCAGGCAGGTGGAAGCGAGCAGATGGGACCCGCGAGCACGTGCTCTCCGCAGCTACTTATCCAAGCAACAAGTCCTGACACGACTCACCCCCGGCCGAGCCCGCAGGATGCGCCCTTCTTGTATTTTTCCAGAGGGTGCCACGCGGAACGCGAAAAAAAGAAGAAGCAACTTAAAAGCTTCATTTCTTCCATAT